AGTTGACAAGCTCCTTCAGAACTAAATTCATTAATCTATGAATGAAGCGACCACATGCGAGTAAAGACAGCTGATGAAAGTAACTGAACATAAAAAGTTGTTTCTTTTTATCTTATGTATGATTTTGGAGACAGGAAACAGCTGCAGGTGTACGGTGGGAGAAAGGTGCCAAAAAAACAAATGATTCATTAAAGCTGCCATTCATGCACCAAAACTTTACCAGTTACCACTTCTATGTGTCAATCATTATAAGAATGATATATAAATACATGTAGATACATAATATGATAACTTCTAACTAATATTTATAGTTAGTATTAAGTATATTAGTTAAGTACAGTAGATAAATAGATATATATTTATAAATAGGTAAATAGATACTTCAATGCACCCCACAATTTCCATAAACAATTTCCCCAAACTTAAACCTGGCATCATCACAGTGAGATGTCCTGGTTCTGGTTCAAAACCAAGCACGTTAGCATTGTCAGTAAGTAACATGTGGAAATGATAGTATTATCAAAATAAGAGTCTATATCCCGTTGGTAGAAAATATCATTTTTGTGATTTAAATGATCTGTCATCTATTTTATGCCCTAATTTTCACAGTTTAAAAATGTAGTTAAACTGAACATTTTGTCCTAAATGGGAGATGTAAGTTAGCTGTGCTTCTATGTAACCACATCCACAGAAGGTGCTTTAGCCATTAGACGTGGAATCTCTAGAGACATGTACTTCCTGTTTTCACAATAAAATCTCATGCATCTGCGTTATGAGCATAGACAATATAACTGTGATGCCGTGCATTTTAAAGGCGTACACGTCCCTGTGACCGTGAGCAAAGCCTAATGGGGAGGCTTTTGTTCTGAAGCCCTGCGCCCGGCGGATGGATGCTCGTGGAGTAGGAGCCCGTTCTCAGAGTCCGTGCAGCATCCAGCACCCAGCACCCAGCATCCAGCATCCAGCATCCAGCATCCAGCATCCAGCACCCAGCACCCAGCATCCAGCATCCAGCATCCAGCACCCAGCACCCAGCATCCAGCATCCAGCACCCAGCATCCAGCATCCAGCACCCAGCACCCAGCATCCAGCATCCAGCACCCAGCATCCAGCATCCGCAGGGCAGAGCTGCGAGCCTAGACGTGAGTAGTCATCTCAGAATATTTATATAATAGTAATAATGATGATAATTCCCGGTGTTATGGGCTAACGAAGGGGATAAACTGGAAATTGGATAACGCTTTTAATATTTGGGACGATCCAAATAGGTCTGGTGCGCAGACAGTCGTTGTCAGAACCGTCAGACAGCGGATAATATTCGGAAGAGCGCAGTTTGTGTCGGTGACGGAGGGCAACATGCGCGTGAGGCCGTGCACCGGTCGTGCGCGGGTGCGCGGTGCTCGTGACTGCAGCATCATGGCGCCCTTGTGCGGGGCGGTGAAGGGCAGACGGGCCGCGGGAGGCCGGAGGATGCTGCTGCAGGCCGGGGGGGGGGGGGGGGGGGGG